TCAAAGAATTGGATATGACGTGTCAGCAAAGATTACTTGAAACTGAAGAGGTAAGTTTATATGATATTACATGTATAATGTGTTATTCTTGAGCAAAATCTTGCTCTTGATAATTTCTATCATAGTTTATTGCGTCTTAAAAACTTGACTAAAGTTGATTTCTTTTACACAACGCATGAATACAGGTTAATAAATCAAAATAAATATGTGGTTTCAACTCATTTTTATTAAAAATATCTTTATGAAAAATGAAAAAGTATATAAATTATTATTTGTCTAACAGTTGTGACATATCAATATTTCTTAAATATATCCCTTTCCTCTTGACACAAAGTTTCTAAGTACTTTAAAGTATTATTGGCTGGCCGTTTTAATTTTTTAAAGCCAAACATGAAACTAACACTTTTGTGTCAATTATTGTATAATTCCCCAATTAGACACTCGGTCAATTGGCATGTAAGATATTTAAGCCTTAATGATAATACTCTTTTTTAATTTTTAAAAGTTATAATTTTTGTTTCAAAACGTTACTCATTGACCAAATACCTGAGCTACCTTTTGTAACTTATGGGATGAAACCTTTAATACTATATTTGTTGGGCGATAAACATCCCATTTATAACAGCATAATTAAAAACATATTTGCCTTTCCTACAAAAAAATAAACCATTTCAATCATTCGAGGCGTAATGCGCCCTTCAAATATATCAAATAATAAACAGAAATATCCTGCAAGAATTTATAAGTTGGATGTTTATAAAAAGCAGAAGTTGAATTTCAACGGCTAAAATGCAATGAGAAAGCTCGGAATGACTAGAAAGGGGCATACTTTACAAGAAATATTTATATTTTTTTTAGGTTTCTCTAATACACATGAACATTGTTCAGATATTATTATATAAGTGCTTGAATTTTAACCTAAATGTAATATATATCTTTACTGTAGTATGCAATCAAAACATCGATGAAAATCCATGTCATTAGTGATGCAATTGGTATTATCTAAAAGCTAATTATGAAATTTTATTATCCCAACAGAGCACAACAATCCCATCAGAGCACAAGAGGGAATCACAGCACAGGTAATACTTCTTGCTAATTTGAGCATTATTATCCACACATACGATTGCATAGAATCAAACTATGCAGTTAAAGTTTTATGTCGAGAATAAAAGGATGAATTATTTTGTTGACAATACTTTAAAGACATTTTTTTTCGTTTTAATGAACTGTTTACTGTTTAAAGAAATTAATGTAGAAGAAATACGAAATATATTAAACATCTTTTGCAAACTTTTATAAAAGGGGAGTGATGGTCTGGTGGTTAATGTGTATGACTTTCTAACCATGATTCCTAATATGACATCACTACTTGTTAGTTCCAGGAAGTGGACTTCGAAAGTGATAAATATAAGGTGCAATAACTTGTTTCAATAAAAAATTTATTTAATGAAATAAATATTTTTTCTCAGTAATACTTGAATTTTACTATGAATGATATGAATCTTTTTTTTCACAGGACTGATTCTTCATGGCTGACGAGAAATATAATAGATGTGAAACAATTAATTCCGGAATTACACGTGTATGAACACTATTGTGACATTTAATATAGAAACTGTCAGGCCACTGGATGGGGGAGAAGTGTAGCGATTTTGTGTGGACTCAAACCATCCAGTATATTAAAGTGAAACAATGTGTTAGTGATTGGACAAACTATAAAACTACACTTCTCCTAATGCTGCCTAGTTCTAGTAACTAGCATGTCCCAAGCCATGATAAAAGCAGAGGGGGAGAAATGAAATTCATGGTTAATGTAATTGTTTTTTTAACATATACAATGTAAATGCAAAATATTGACTTTTCTTTAAACTCACCATATTACTAAGAAGTTATGTATATGATATTTTTATCCCGTCATAACTATACTACCTATATTTCAAGAGTTCTTTCCCCTTTGGTCTGAAATTTTGATTTAAGTTTATTCTATCTTTGTAATTTTTGGGATCATTAACTAAATTTTTGATAATCACCAACGTCATATATGACAAGGTTTTTTTTACTCTTTAGCATCTTTTCCATAATAGTGATCACTAATATCTCTATATAAATTTCCCTGATAATTCCCTTATTTTTCCCTGACACGACTTTTTAAGTTCAAGCCTTACTTAAGTGGTAAATGTGTCTGTCTCTCAACCCAGGGATTGTGGATTTTAGCTATAGTCGGGTTATACTGCAATTACTGGTAAGGCATTACTGTCTCAAAACGTGGTATTGAGAGTACTGAGGCAGTACTTTGGTTGTCATACATTATAGCATTTTTATTCCATTTCGTGGAAACAAATGGAATCTTCCTGAAAAATGTAGCTTGAGATACTACAAATTGATGATTAGAACTGAATTAAATCTATTTTGATGTAGTTTTTTATGTGTGTCTGTAAAAAGCAATAAAAGGTGTGACGATGTTCATGAATTTAGCCAGACAACTGGAGCAGCCGAAACAATTTTTGCCTAGTCTAGCCAGAGATGAGACAGTAGAACATGTGCAAAAGATCATCAGTTTATTTCACCATGTAATTTCATATTAGTTATAACCTCAATTTCCGGACCGCCAGAATAACCGGAAATACGACTACTGAAAAAAAAGACAAATTAAAAAAGTGTGTGGTGTTTGATGTGTTCTCTGGTATCAGTGTGACTGTCGGTAATACTTTTGCCTGTTAAACCTAAAATCGAACTAATATAGTCATTTCAGCTCAAAACTTCATTTCCGACCAATGTAAGGTATTATATACTGAATCATAATGTGTAATGGGGTTTCTTGACACTCTTAAAAAACCATCAACATATATATAATTTGAATATTTATTCATTTGTTTATCCTATTCTTACCATATATATATATATATGTATATTGCTAGTTATTAATCCTATATTCTTCAACATTAGATTATGTATGAAGTCCTATGAATGTTTTGTTTTCGTTAGCATTTGCTAGTTAGAAATGTTGAAATCTATGGAAAATACTTAAAATACTCCGAAGTTATCCAAAATTATTTTCTGTCAACAACACAAGTTCTCCTAATTATACATAATTATAGAATCTGTATTATACATGTTAATTCATATAAGATGTAGGCATATTTTTGTGGTTTCATAAACTTTTATCCAAGTTATTTCATTTTATGCACATCAATAAGCAAAATGACATTCTTTCTTTGACTCCGATACCTCGCATAGCATAGGGTGATTTCATCTCAGAAGATGGAGACCTTCACGGGGTGCGTATTTTTTTTTAAATGTATAGGCTGAATGCCATGCTGAAATAAGGTACACACATTCCAGTCCTGTGCTAGATAACGAGTTAAAAAAAAAAGAATCTAGTTCAGCTTCTAAATCTAAGAAGTGTCCCAGGGGGAACTTAAAATTTACATTTGATATTTGTTTAAATCAGTATAATGAAGATGAACTTAACATGATTTTTTTAACATTACAATGCCGGAGAAAAAAGAAAAGCATACAACTGGCAATTTATGAGGGGAAAATGTACATCTTCAAATTAATTTATCAAATCAATATATTGCTTGAAGATTTATTTATCAAATCAATATATCTAGTGTCGACTTACCGGATTTACTTTCCAAATCAGTATAATTCTTATAGATTCACAGATGTTGTTTCAAGGTGGCCTGGATCACGGCATGATGCAGCACTTTTCAATGCTTGTGGGTTAAAGGTGAAGTTTTTTTACAATAAAGTTCTCATGTAATAAATTAAAGTTGCATTGAGTACCCTTGATGGACTTCTAATTTTAATGCTAGTTCTAACCTCATATACAAAAATATTCTTTTCTTCCTGGTTCTATTAAGCATTTCTGAATGTTCTGAAGAATGTGGAAAACAGTGCTTATAATCTGTAATCTTTCATACACATTTAGAACAAAATAATGGTGATAAAAAAGCCTTTAGTATACTGTATTGCATATCATTTAAAGTTATTATTGTATTGATCCATTTTAACCTTTTCTGTTTTTTGTTTTGTTTTGAAAATTGATTTAGGATATAATTAAGAAGTATACACCAACTTGTGTCACAGAAAAACATATTTAAAATCGAGTTTGTCGAATTTTAAATGGTATTAATGATCGATAAACTATTTCACTATGCTTCAGTTTTTTTACATAGAACATACATAGATTTAATAATTTTCAACTTGAGCTCGTTAAAAATTATATGAAGGTCCCAAGGGACTAGCCTCAAATTGTAATGTTCAACTCATTATTTTATTTATACAAAGTCATTTAATGTGCTTTGACATAAGCATTTATCACGGTCGTGATGATTCTGAAAATCAAAGTTAGCACAACTGTTTGATAACATGTAACAACGCAGACATTTCATAAAAACAATACAAATTTGAAGTAATTACCTATAAAAATAAAGTCACCAGATAATAGCTTTCAATATTTCTCTATACGACAATATCCTGTTATCAATGTACTGGTATTTTGTTATGCCCTCTGATTATTCGTCCTTGCGACAACAATTGTACGTCTACTCCAGATCTTCCAAAGTAAAATTCATGACAGTTCCTTATTGCTATGTTTCGGATAAGAAATTAAATGTAATTTTCACGCCAAATCTAAATGTTAAAGGTTTGCACCAACAATTTTTTGTCCGAAGTTTACATTCAAACCTCTGAAATGATATTCATAATACTGTTTAATATGCAGAACACAAAATGACAGACACCCAGCTTCAATGTCAAAGTTACAATAATAACATATTGTTACGAAGTTCATTTCGTCCGAACATCATGACACTTTTTATAACTCCGGAAACCAGATTAATACTTGTTGACAGTTATCATATTTATTCTGATTTATAAACATATGTATAATACTTGATGTTTACGCCAGTTTGCCCATTTGTAATCCCTTATTTATTGCTACATAACTCATTAAACTTGTGCCATGCCTTAATTATGTTTCATCCATTATTAGGCAGCACACCACACTAAATGTAGCCACAGTTTCGAAAGGCCAGGGAGGATTTCTTTGAAAGTGTAAATATTCTGGAGTTAAATGACTATTTGAGTTCAAAATGCATTTTCAGCATCAGATTTGGTTTTGTAACATCTAATATGAACTCTGGCAAATTCGAAAATAGGGCTAGTAATAAATTGTTCAGGCAGATATTGTCCAGAACACCGTTTTACTGCATACAGTGCATTTCAACTGCAGGCTCGGAAGAATCAAGACATTTTTCAAGGGGGTACATACTTTCATCAGTAGCAAAAAATCTGCAAGGCCAAGCACCTGTTTCTTTGTGATATTTTGCATGTATAGGGATTTGCCAAGAGAGAAACAGTGTTTCTATAGCTGCTATATTTGCAGGTAATTTTTGACAGAGTGACAGAAATTGTTTTTTTAGGTCTCGGACCACAGTTGATTTTCGGCAAATATCGAATGAATCACAGTTCCATGTATAGTTCTACCACAATACTTGTGACAATTTAGATGTTGATTTGCAATGTTTATTGTAATATGTTGTTAATGAAATGATTCTTTTTTTTCCAGGTTTTCTACTTTCACAGGAGGAAGCGTTTACATTTTGTGTGTGGTCAGGGACGGCAGAAATAGGAAATTTAGTGTGGAGTGCTACCTTAGTTGGTACTGATTAGAATTCCAGATGGAGACGTAGAATATGTTCTGTATTTTTAATCGAGTTAAGATGGAGACAATGTGACGTCATCAACTAGATCACATGACCCATCTGGGTACAAAGTGATATCATTATGTGAAGTCACGTTACTGTTTCAAGGGTCATGTGACCTTTTCCTATAAATACCCCAGATTTTCCCTTGAACTTTGTCAATTGTATTGTCCGCTTTACAGACGCAACCTCTATACACAATGTCTTATAGAAAATATCCATCTGGAGAGGTAGTACCCAGAATCATTTAATAAATATATTTCACTTATTAAAATAACTATAATAAACGTATTAATTACAAGTATTTATAAACTTGTACAGAATATTTATCTATGTAACTAAGGTTAATAAACCCAACTGGAGTGGTTTCCGGATATGTACCCATTTTGACTACATGTATTATTTATATTACTGTTGACTGTATATACATGAATGAATGATGTTGATGATGAATAAATGAGATGTTAAACTAACTACTGGTTTTCTCCTGATACAACATACCCTGACTATTGAATACTTATAGAAGTGAAGCTATAGTGATCTACCCGCTATATAGGCCTACATCCTGAGAAGTATAAATTGTTACCCGGGGACTAGCAGGCTCTCCCTGGTCTGGGACGTAACAATATTCTACAATTATAACGTCTATCAAAACTTGAGATTACATTTTTATTCATATATTTTATAAATACCTGTTGCCTGTTGTATAAAACACTTGCTTTAAAATTTGAAAAAAAATCGAAGACAATATTTAGATGTCTAAATAGATCATAGAATACACCTGAGAATGTATTTATGGAATATGTGATCCGCAAAACAAGGGAGAAAATCATCTCAGAAAACTGCGGCGAGTCGCCATATGAATTATCTCTCTTGTATAAAAGTTGATGATCATACTGTTCTCATACTTCTTTTTTCTAATTTTTACTCTATCATAGTGATAATCGTTATATAAATTATATAATCAACAGTCGCTTATTATAATAAATTATTCGTACTCTATCTTACTTAAGAAGGTACGATGATATATTATGAAGAACTTGATATTGTAAATCAACTACACTCTAATAATAAATATGACATCTTTATATAAATTCAAACAATTTTTTATCTTCGTTTTAACAAGATTCTTCTTGTGCGTTCACAAGTTTCCATAGAAATGGTTATTTTTACTCAAAAAAATGGCTAAAATTTCTGTTCAATTTCCACCACAGCTATATTTCATAAAGCTACAGTAAGCAAAATAGAAGTAATCAGTATAGTGAACCCTCGTACTTGTTCAGTCTGGTATACATGCATTCAAGTTCAATTACAAGTTCAATTAAGGTCGCATTTCTTCATGTTAATTCATCTGGTATTGTTTATCTGTGAATGGTCAGTTAACTGTCCCTCTTTGTCCAGTGTTCTCTTGTCATTGTCTTGTATATTTGGCCAGAGAATGATAGGACGAGTGTTTTATACTTTTTGTTTCTCATTGAAGCTACATTTGTTTACAAAGCTGTCTATTTCAAAGTTGTAATACGTTGAAGTCAGAAATTCTTGTTCTTCATAGATCATTTTCTGTTATTTCCTTATTTAAGCTCTTTATTGAACTATATTTATTTTTGTTCAAAACAAAACAGACCAGTCAGTCGGAGCATGTAAGGTTTGCTTAATGTTCACTTATAAGTGTGCTTGATAAATGAAATGTTAAAACCACAAATCATATTTTAGTTCCATGTATTTATTATAGTGCAATTTATTACACAGGTTTCCATGTTACAAAGTAGGTTACTGCCTCAGTGTTTATTATAATAATTATAAATTATAATATAATTATAACCGCACACTACATCGGTATCACACATTAAACAAGAACTGTCTGAGGACAGTAAGGCTCGACTATTCGGAAAAGTTGTCACAAGGGCGTTTTATTGAGTATAATTATGCTTACCTATGAATACATAAAATTGGCCGAAAATGTACAAAGGCTTGTTATTAAGATGTTTTATCAAGTAAATCACTGCTTTATTATTATGAATGCACAAAATTGTCCCAAAAAAGGCACAAACCCGTCAGTAGTTATGGAGGTAACAGCTTACAAGCAAAACTTTACCATGAATTTCTCAGTTGAAAAAGGGGAGAAAAATCAGCCTAAATGCAAGATAGAATTATGGATCTTGGTCAGTGACCTACAATTATGACCCTAAATGCATCTGTGAAGTTTTGATAGCTAAACTTGCATGTAAACATTAACCAAGAGACTAAGTAGAAAAGGGGAGATAAATCAGCCTAAATGCAAGATAGAGTTATGGAACTTGGTCAGTGACATACAATTATGACCCTTCATGCAAATGAGAAGTTTCAAATCAAAATTTTTGATAGTTATTGAGATATTTGACTGAACAAAAAACTTAAACCAAAAGTTAAAAAGGGGCATAATTCTGTAAATATATTGTAGGCAGAATTATCCAACTTGTCAATCTGATGTACATTGTTACTATAAATAAGTATTGTAAGTTTCAATTGAATATCTTAAGCAATAATTGAGATATTTAACTTTACATAAAACTTTAACCAACGCAGACGCGGACGACGACGCCGACGCCGGGGCGACTACAATAGCTCTCATATTCTTCGAAAAGTTGAGCTAAAAATGAAATGCACATAGAGTTTTCAAATGCACTAATTGAACAAAATAATCTAGCAGACCTTAAAAGCAGTTATATAATATTGTAAGTTTAATGAATCTCTGTAAGTTTAATTGTTTTAATCGGACGGTACATGACCGACTTTACGGTTTTGTCAGTTAACACTGTTTTTGAATGGAATTGTAGAAATGGTAACTAAATTCAGCATGTCAAAGTAAAACGAGCTTTCATCAACGACGTTTGGTTTTCACATTTTCAATCAGGAGATTGATAAAAGAAGGTAAAAGTTCTACTCATGATTCATGTCAACAATATATTTAAAAGTTATATTCCATGTAGGAGAGTAATGTCATCTCTGGATATTGTGGCTATTTCTTCGTATCAAACTAAACTGTTAGTAGTTAAAGAAGCCTGTTCGAATGGGATTTTCTATAAATGTAAATTAATTCAGAGTTTGGGTAAAAACAAAAGATAACAGCGTTTTAAATATGAATAATATATTTTATTATATATACATGAATAGTGGAACAAGCGATAAAGGATTGAACGCTATTGGCTTATAACTAGCGTATAATCTAACATACAGTCTTAGAAATTCAACAAAAGAGATTGATTACCCTGATCCGCTCATCTGAGATAAATTGTTAGTTAAAAATAACATAGCCACTCTTGAAAACTCAGTAATTAGTTCACATTAGGTTGTTGACTCAAGTTGTATATATTTTTAAAACATTTGTTACAATAACTATCTGGAACCCCCGAACGAAAGATGCGTTTATGTGGCATGATGGAGCTAACTTTTGTTCAGGGTCACTAAAATGTTTAATGCAATACAACTATTCGTAAGACTTTACTAGTAGTTATCCACAAGAAAGAGTTAAATATTTTTTCCTCTAAAAGTATATAATATAGAAAAGGAGCCAAGTGACAGACAACATTTTGCACACTGGTCATGGTTTTAAATTGGGCCACAAAGTAAAGATACGTGCCGCATATTTAAGATCTGGACATTTGAGTATTTAACAATAAGTTTTGCAAGATATCTTTAAAATACAAGTCTAAGTAAAGTAAAGAGCTCCAGGGCCGGACCATTTCTAAAGCTTAGGGCCGATATTTTTTAAATATCTACTAGGCAATGCTTCGAAAAAACAGCTTCGGGTATTGTAGAACGGCGTGGAAGACTTAAAGACGTTTTGGGAGTTTTCATATAGGCATAACTTAAACTGTTCAATAGAATATCTTTCAACTTGGCTTGTCTTTTAGAATATGATAAATATGACTCATTGGCTAAAAACCTAAACCGTCTTTTACATTTGTTGCATTTTTGCAATGAGTAAAGCGTATAGTGATTTAGTTTTGAATGGAAGTAAAAAACCTAATTGTTTACATTCGGCTACTTTTATCACAGATAAGTTTACATCCAGTGCTACATTTTTCCAAAAGATAAGCATTTTAAATGTTCTAAAACCATTTATTTAATATATAAAACTAATGTTTGACTTTTCTAAAGGATGAAAATTTTACTCATTCTGAGGCATAATGTGCATTTTGGTCCCTTAATGCAAGTAGGAAATAGTAGCAGAAATATGTAATACTTATTTATGTGATCAACAGTAAAACAAAAACATAATTTTGAATGATCTTAAAATGACCTCAAATAAGTTCATAATTCTGATTGAAGGGCAGATAACACAAAAGTGAGATTGGTGACAACAAACTACATGTATTTCACTCAAAATATTTTTGTCATTATATTCTTACAACATGCCAAGTTTAAAGAAATTCTATCAAACAGTATTTATTTTGCTTTTTTTGACTATATGAAAACCCCCGAAAACGACCTTAATTGTATTTTCCCATATAATACTTTATAAATTAAGTAAAATCCAAGACAGGACCAATTTTGACCCAAGGGTACAATTTATTTAACTTTTGTTCATGTCAAATATCTAAGCTTTGGACATGGTACTTCTGGGAAATAGTTTTTTTAAAGAAAGTTTATGTAAATTTAGTATCCCCTAGGGCGGGGCCGTTTTTGACCCAAAGAGAATAACTGTTATTTCTTTTGTAGCGTTCAACTAGGTAATGCTTCATGCAAAATGTCTATGCGTTCGACATTGATGTTAAACATAAGAAGACTTGAATGTATTTTCTACATAAGTCTCAATACATTAAGTGACCACAGGGGCGGGGTGAATCTTGAACTTCAGGTACATGATTTTAATAACCTTTTTAGAAGAACAAATATTTGAACTCAGGGCATTGTGGTTATGGACCTACTTAAAATCAGATTTGAAAGAATTTATTAACTTTTGAGACAGCCACGTAAGAATAATTGCTGTGGAATTTGGTAAAAATAACTGACTGGTTTAGGAGATGTTTTGTTTCAAGGGACTATGGAGAACGACAAGCAAAACTGACCAACGACGGACAAACTGGCATCACAAAAGCTCACCTGTGAGAAATTTGTGCTCAGATAAGCTAAAAATACAATCACAACATACATTACTGTTTGGTTAGTAAACATTATAGTAAGATTAATAACTGACAAGTTAACTAAAACTAAAACATGGAAATAATGTAACACCCCTTATCAAGTTCGAGGACAAATCAAAGCACAGAATGTATCAATCAAATTTCTAGATTAAAACAAGAACGTTTTGTTAAACACCAAATGCCCCCGGCTCAGATTCTTGTCGGTAACATTTTTTTTTAAAAGGTTTACACCATTCACTCAGATTATGGCCAAAAATTGCCACTATATTTGTCAAACACAATTATATTACTTGACCAGTCATGGCGTTTTGTTATTTTTTTGTAGACGTCTTATAAAAGACATTGACCTTAAGCCAAGTGTACACAAACTTATTCCAAGCTTACAGGACCACTTAAGGTATGTTCCTTATATTGTAATTATAAGACGTTAGTATTTTTTCACAAATGTTGTATAAAAAAGCGTCACAAATCTAATGCTAGCACAAGTGACCTTGTGACTCCCAACACAGGTTCCTTCCAAAACTGAAAATTATCAGTCTATAAATACAGGATGTATAAGTAAATGTGTAGAAATCTATTTTTGGCATCCCTGATAATGAGCCAAAATCCAAATCCAAAGGCAGAATATCATAAAAGACATCTTTCTACCAAATATGAAAGATATGTGTACATAAATAAAGGCTGTATGGGCAAAAAATGTAAAATTCCTATTTAAGCACAGCTGAACTTGATCAAACTCTCACCTTACTCAATCTAAAGAAAGCAGACCATGCAAGTAATTATCTATTCAAATATGAAAAGCATCAGATAAAAATAAAGCTGTATAAGCAGATGTGTAGAAATCTATTATTGGCACTCTTGTCCTCGACCCACTGACCTCTGACACAATCAAAATGAAGAAAATCGTGCAAATAATCTGCCTGCCAAGTATATAGACGTCTGTCCATAATTAAAGGCTGATTGGGTGAAAGTGTAAAAATCTTTTTTAAGGCACTGGTGACCTATCCCAACAGACTCCTTACTCCATTCGAAGGAAGAAGATCTCTTATACAAAATATCAGACATCAGTCATAAGAATACTAGTAACTTTACCCCTGTACAAGTGTCAAAACCTATGTTTGACATTGGTGTCATTGACCTTGACCTCTAACTGTTCCTCTCCAGGAAGAGGACCTCTCTAGGCACGCCCGTATTAACCACAAAAGACATCAAATTAAAAATAAAGGCTGTATGAGACCAAACGTTTATATTTACATTAATGACCACCTTCCAAATTTGAAAGATATCATTAAATAATTTAAGAAAATAGACGAAATTCAAGATTTATTCAACTTACCATAATAGGTTAATTAAACAAGGCTCTATTTTCAAATCGATAAAAAGGGCAATAAAATGAAGAATGAATGGCACAGCTATATAATTTGGAAATATCATATACTTTATATTGATAAGTAAGTATTGAAATATGAAGTCATTAGTATAGTTGGAACTTAAAATATATCCAACTTGCCGACTTAGGTTAACCATATCCATTTACAAAATGCTGAAATGGGAAATAACTTGAAATAATTGAAGCCATAGTTATGGCACTTGCCAAGATTATGTACATTGTATTTATTAGTAAGTGTGTAAATTATGAAGCCATTGGTACATATAGAACTTGCCGTTTTAGGTTAACCTCGAGTAAGGAAGAACGAACAGATGGACCGACGGACGGACAATTTTCAATTACTATATGCCGGGAGCATATAAATTTGCTAAAATATTGCATGTCAAGCAAACACACTGACCACATACAATTAATTTCTTTTTCACAAAAATGAAATAACGAAATATTACTATGCGTATTTAATAATAAGTATAATGCAAAAAAAAATGAAAAGTAAATACACTAATATAAGCTATTAGATCGATATAGAAAGAATGACAGCACAAAAACTATTTTTATTCGTTATTGCCTACTACAAAATGTTTTCAAAATTTGGAAACGAAAACACGATTTTACTGATGTTCAAAATATCTAAAAGCAGAAGTAACAAATTCATACAACAATTTATTAAAACTGGCTTGGTTTACTTGAAAATGGACAAAGTTTATTTTTAGCCAAAATTTAATCGTTACCGATGATACTTATTAAAATCTTTTATTGCAGAATGATTTCAACAATGTAAAGTGCTTAAAAAATGACACGTATACAGATAACGGTACGTACACTGACAGTTAAAATGAAAGTTTAAAATTTCACTCCTCATTACATAAGTACAAAAGAAAGCACACATCATACAATTCGAGTAACTAAATATAAACAAGAGGGCCATGATGGCCCTGAAGTCGCTCACCTGTATATAGGCCCCCGTAGTGGGGCCAGTTAAAACACCAGGGCTTTTATTTGAACAAACTTGGTAGACACCCATTAGAAGATGTTTCATGCTGAACATCTAAGGTCTAGCTGGTCAAGTTCTTTCTTTACACATTATAGTTAAAAACAATGACACACCTGCGCGGCAGAGCCAGTTTGGACCCACGGGTCTTTATTTGGGAACAATCTTTGTAGACACTAACTAGAAAATGTTTCATGCTAATTCTGACTCTTAGCTATTCGGATTTTTTTTCGAAGAAGATTTTTTAAATTTTGCTATACACATATCAAGGAAAATCAATGACCCCGGGGTGGGGCCAATTTTGACCCCAGGGCTTTTATTTGAACAAACTTTTGTAGACACTTACTAGAAGATGTTTCATGTCTAAATATCTAAAACTCTAGCTATTTTGGGTTTTTTCAAAAGAAGATTTTTAAGTTTTTGCTATACACATATACGGAAAATCAATGTCCCCTGGGGCGGTGGGCCAATTTGACCCCAGGGCTTTAATTTGAACAAACTTTGTTTAGACACTCACTAGAAGATGCTTCATGCTTAATATCTAAATTTAGCTATTTGAGTTTTTTTCAAAGAAGATTTTTTAAAGTTTTTGTTATACACATATAAGGAAAAATCAATGACCCCCGGGGCGAGGTTAATTTTGACCCCAGGGCTTTTATTTGAACAAACTTGGTAGACACTCACTAGAAGATGTTTCATGCTTAGTATCTAAACTCTAGCTATTTAGTTTTTTTCAAAGAAGATTTTTAAGTTTTTGCTATACACATATAAGGAAAATCAATGACCCCCGGGGCGGGGCCAATTTTGACCCCCAGGGCTCTTTATTTGAACAAAACTTGGTAGACATCAATTTAGAACATTGTTTCATGCTAAATATCTTAGCTCAAGCTCTTTGTGTTCTTTTAAAAGAAGATTTTTAAGGTTTTACTTTATGCATATTAGGGGAAAATCAATGACCCCTGGGGCGGGGCCAATTTTGACCCAGGGCTTTTATTTTTTTTTCAACAAAAACTTGGTATACACCCATTATTGAAAATGTTTCATGCTTAAATTTCTTAGCTGTAGCTCTTTGGGTTCTTTAAAAAGAAGATTATTAAGTTTTTACTATGTGATATAGGGAAAATCAATGACCCCCTGGGCGGGGCCAATTTTGACCCCAGGGCTTTCATTTTTGAACAAACTTTGGTAGACACTCACTAGAGATGTTTCATGCCCAAATATCTAAGCTCTAGCTCTTTGGATTTTTTTAGAAGAAGATATTTAAAGTTTTTCTTTTGGTTGCCATGGAACCAGAGTTCTGCATGGAATTAAATTCTTTTGAACAATTTTTCAAAGGTGATCACCAAAGGAACATTCCTGTGAAGTTTGGATGAAATTGGCTCAGTGGTTTATGAGGAGATGTCATTTAAAGTAAAAGTTTACGGACGACGGACGGACGACGGACGGACGACGGACGGAAAGCGATCACAAAAGCTCACCCTGTCACTTTGTGACAGGTGAGCTAAAAAGCATATATAGCATAGGTTAAGTTAACACACTGAACTCATTGACATTTCCTTAAAAAATATTACATGAAGCTAAGCAAAATTAAAATAATACGTATTGAAATATTTCAATGGTTATATAACTATTATACCAATATTAACGGAAATTAATGGAATAATGTAAGCTAATTGATTTACAGAGAAACTATTGAAATCACAGTTTATTAATGTAGAGAACATTTGCAATTTTGACTGTTTCTTCATCACAATGAAAATAGATAATTATATACTTTTTCACAGGCTTTGAGTTCACAAAGATTCAAGGATCAAGATTAAGAATAGGATCAAATTTAAATTCAAAAAGTTTCATAAATCAATGAAAATAAGAGCTTGTCATTGACAATGCAGCAGACCTCTACCGGAGTTATGTTTTCTGTTTCCATACCACAAACCATATAAATTGACTTTGAAAAAGTTTTCTCAGACTTTAAGTACCAAAACACAACATAGAAGAAATTATGCTGATGCACTATTTTGGAAATCATAATAATTTGTACAAATTTTGTACTTTTTAAGTTATTGCAGAATTGTCATTTCTTTGAATGACCACAATGACGGACGGGTGAATTGAGATCCATATAATTTCCATATCGACTTTTATCTACATTCCAAATACTAGTATCAGCAAAATAGTTTTTGTTCTTTTTGAATTATTTTGATAAGCAGAATGACAGACAGACACACTGCAGGACTGACGGGTGAAAAAGTTAAATTGACATTCATAAAATCCATACGGTCCTCTATCTTCATATCAAGTATATTATCATCAACCCAGACTTTAAACATTATGGCAAAATGAAAACTTATTTGACCTTCACCAGTTCACTCACTATATACCCTTGGATGGGCATAATGTCATTTTAACTATCTTTGCATATATTTCTGTTTAAAGTGCCCCATTTATGTAAAAAATTCAAATGTTATGTTTTTAGGCTCTTAAACCTCAGTGGAGTCCCTTTAAGCTTTTGTATCGTTTAAGCTGTAACACGATTAAGATTTTCTTTGGATGGAAGATGAACATGTATACAGACGGATAGATAAGGATAATCTCAACATGGCCGTCTATCCGCATAGACCTTCAAACCTAGCTTTATTTTAGTTAAGAATAGATTCAGAATATTCGTATGGACGTCCTTAAGAGACTGTAGAAACGTGGCTACACCATTGATCTCCTCATAGTTTTAGCCACATAAAAGAAAAATAGCATCATAAAAGCTTATGGAATGAATGACACTAAAGAGAAAGTACAGATTCCCGTGTTGACAGAAATATTATCCTGGAAGTCCGGACAGACTGACGATGTCCCTGAGATGACGTGACGAGCTTATTTCCTTGATCTTCTTTGATCTAAAAAAAAACCCATATCAATGTATTTCAACCCAAAAGCAACCTTTTTCCCAAGCAGGCCTGTACGGAATGAACACGGATATTCATTCCATATAATCACTCGTGTCCGTATGGATATACGGAGTAAAGAAGAGTTAACATAGAGTCCCCTGCGGTTAAACCGGTAGGGAACTTATATAATCAGTTATATTTTTTCCTGACCCTAAGAATTTCTTTGTGAACAAGGTACCGAGCTTAGCAATAATGAAAATTGAAGTTTCCTAATGTTAATTTAACTTATATACACAAATTATATAAATAAAAGAAACAAGAAGGCCATTGATAGCCCTAATATCGCTCACCTGAATATGTATGCTCTCCACGACAAGGAACAAAGTTAATATTGTAAACTATAAAATAAAAGCAGATATAAAATCTAAATCTTAAATTGATATTACAGAGTTTAACGTTACTGGTTGCTATTTGCCTAAGTGAAAACAACAGTTCCATAAGATGTCACTGTTTGCTTACGCAAAATAAGTTGGTTTCCCTGCGATTAAAATATAATGGTAGATTCACGTGTTTGCCTGGAAAGTTAATGTTTGCTGGCTTGCTATGAATATTTATAGTTTGCTATGAAACGTCAATGGCTGCTAAAAAGTCACTATGGACTAAAGTTTGCTATGGAAAACTAAGCTTCAGCTCTTGTAGATTGAGATATTTTTGTTATAATTTTTACTATATATATGTAATTAAAATCTATGTTCCCGTAAGCGGTGCAATTTTTACCCGAGGACTATGATTTCAATAATTTTTTAAGATATCCACGAGACAATGTTTCATACCAAATATCTAAGTTAAAGTCTATATAGTACATGTAGTAGAAGCGAAGATTATTTTTCTATATACATATAACGATTGTGACACCAAAGCTTTTATTTGAACAAACTTGATAAACAACTACTAGAAGATGTTTCATGTTAATTATCTATGCTCTAGCTCTTTTTGCTTTTTATAAAGAAGAGTTTTTTTACAATATACATACATGTATGTGGAAAATTAATGATCCCCTGTGGCGGGACCAATTTTGACCCCAGGGCTTTTATTTTAACAAACTTGGTAGAGACCTATTTGCAGATGTTGCATGGTAATATCTAAGCTCTAGCACTTTGGAGCTTTTAAAGAAGATTTAAGTGTTTTTCTTTCCGTTGCCATGGCATCCAGAGTTCTGCATGGAATTCCATTTGTTTAAACAGTTTTTCAAAGATGACAACCCAAAAATTTTTCTGTAAAGTTTGGATGACATTGACTTAGTGGTTTATGAGAGGATTGTCGTTTACAGTTTTAAAGTTTACGGGACGCACGCCGGACGAAAAGTAATCACAAATGCTAACCATGTCATTTTGTGACAGGTGAGCTAAAATGTAAGATTAACAGGGAATTATCGACAAAAAAATGACTACATATGATGGTTCTCGACTTATTTAGATTACTTATGAGCATCAACATGAAGAAATCTCAAAACTTCACAATTTAATTTTTTCATGCATTATTTTTTGTGAACAATAAACATTAATAATACAATAAATTATATATGTGAATATAATTCTATATTAAATATCGGAATGAAAATTTGACTCGACCCATTGATTGTTATATGTGTCTTAAACAATTTAGTAACATCTATTTGTATGTATTCATTTGGTTGTTAACAACAATCATGTCAAGAAACAAAAAACATTTGACTGTTTTATGTCTAGTTAACATTTTACGTTGCATACATTTGTCGTATGAAATTAAGGGCACATTACATTGTAGGACCTATTGGATGAAAGTAAAATTTTCATCAAGTGCTTCAAAAACAAAATAATGATATAAATGCATGCATATTGTTTGAATGTTGGATGACATACAGTTATACACCTGTGAAAATTATGGGGCGAACTAATATTGGTTATACATGTTTGTATAATAAATATATATTTAAGAAGCAAAGTAAAAATTTACAAATTAAACTAGCCAAACATGAAGTATGAAATTATATCCGCTTCTTCGTATTTCATACTCGCTCCATAACCCTGTCAAAGAATAAATATGAATATAAAAATGTTTAAAAATGGTACATGTATATATTTTTTGCAAATTTTTTGCAGTCAACACTTTACTGCATTGGTGTCATATTTCATATTTAGCTGTAAAGAAAATTCAATGTTAGTAACATATTTAATACGCGTATAATGTACTCATAACATTGTGGAATGTCATTTTTATTTGCTAATCATGATGTTCGTCTATTATAATTCATCTGCATGAAAATAAATGACTTTTGTTACCTAATAAATAACATATTTATATTCTATGACATGCCATACATGTTTATTTCTCGCCAAGTTACTCGGTTAATTTTAAAGCTTACTGCCATTTATACTGGGCCGATCGTGTTTATCAACACTCTTTAATGTAAAACACATTACAAAAGAAATATTTCTTTTTTAATAATTTGTCATGTGTTCCAAGCTATATATATGAGTTTTGTATCTAAAATATCACCTTATTTACACGATATGCCAACATCTTCACCGTGGCTACAATCATTTATTCTCCAACCATCATGCGAACATTGAAATAAGCTTGTTTCACTTCCCGTACACTGAACCTCATCTAAAAGTATTGGTCCTGTTCCAAAGCCGAAAGTGTGCTCCGTTGTGTACCACAGGGCTAGTACTAAAATGATTACATCAAAATATTATTATTTTTAGATTTTATCATGCCATTTGTAAAGAAGCTTAACTTTAACTGCTTAACGCAGATAATAATACCGTAATAATAATAATAATAATGATACATGTAATAATAATAATAATAATAATAATAATAATAATAATAATAATAATATGAAGATCAAACAGAAAATCATATGCCAGTAATTCTTGATTTTCTGATAGAAAAAATACATGGAAAACTTGTCTGACTTCTGCTATTGAAGAGTATATAAGAACATATTTTGGTACCACGTTATGCACGTGAGATATTGATCAAATACGACATTATTTGTCGGAGCATTGAGTATATTTGTTTTGATATTGTTGGGTTTATCGTCGCACCAACACAGGAAATAAAGGCACATACGCGCACCTGAGTTGAACCACCGGTGTTCCTTAAACTAGCTGGATAGCTTTCTAGCATGGCAGAATTATGGAGACTCTTAAGATGCTCGAAACCTACAGCGGTAAGAGGCAAAATGATTGAAGTCAACGACCTTAACCATTCGGCTAAAGACGCCCCTCTTGGTGTAGTAGTTAGTATGATTATGTTGGACAAGTAAATATAAACCTTTTTAACAATACGATTTCTTTTCATAGTAACGGATTGTTGCATTTTCGACCATGCGCATTCTGCATTTTACATTTTCACATTTTATTATACTTTTAAGGCTTTAAAAGACGTTATTTCAAGTACGTATACTTAATTTAGACAAGTGGTTTAGCAAGGCGGTAAGTGTCAAAAACTAGTTTTCAATATCATTCAACCGCAAAGTTTAAGTACCATGTCATAGTTAATAACGTAAAACTATGAAAATCGTAATTTAAGGAACCTTTACATATACCAATCTCATCAATGATTATTACTTTTGTGAAGTGACGAATTGTGTGAGATTCATTTAGATGTGTTACGGGGACCGGATAAAATGTGTGTAATTTTACTACACATCTTGTCTTCTCAAGACTTTGAAAAATTATTTAAATTACAATATATTTCTGTGACTTAAAAACTTTCTGTTTGGCATCACAGTCAAATCGAATAAAGGTTTAAATTAGGTAACTAGAAAACTAAAAATGCATCATCAGGTGTTCTGACATTTTTAGAATGATAATTAACCTCGATTTCATATGTTATAAAATTTCTTTAGTTTTTACATGAACTATTTAAATAACAATTGATTTGACTTTTTTAGTTGCAAATAGATATATTTCCATATTTTTACAACAATTGTCTTAATGTAAGGTCCGTGATCCTAAGGGGGAATTCTTAAACAATCGTCTTTTCTCTGCCTTTTTATGGCAATCTTGGCCACAAAACTTTAAAGGCTTTTTTGTCTTTTTATAAAGCTTTTTTATATGATTTTCTACTTTTAACTTGGAATTTCTATGAATTTCTGGTACATTTCTATGTAGGGTACTGCTATTTTGCCCTACGCAGATTGCGCATGCGCGTGAAAAATACTACTTTTTGGTCTATTTTTCATAGAAACGGACCGCGTCGTAAAAAGGTCTTTTGACTATTTATTATTTCGTTTTTAAATTCAATCGTTTCACTAAAAAATAACTTGAACCAAGATATTTAATAATAAACAATAATGAAACATTTCATAGTTATTGTATTATCAATATCAAGATTTATATATCAGAACTTTGAATAATTTATCCCTATGAATAAAGGCAACATATTTGTTAGAATATGTCCATTCTAAAAAGTGCCGTGATTTCTTCGTCAATATTTTTCAAAACATGATTTTACTACATAAATTAAAATCAGGATTCTTCTATAAAATATTTCAACAACTCATTTTAGTAACAAAATATAATTCAGATTCTGTAATTATAGTTCATTGTACATGCATTAAAATTCCTTACATACATTAATAAGGAGATTAGAAATAACATGTAAAATATCCTAAAGAGGAGTATGTCCAATATGTAAGATATAATGCCTTTGTCATTTAAGAATTAATTATTTTTGAACATGCGAAAGGGGAGACAAATTGACAAAAAAAATATCTCAGAACAGAGGGAAAGAAAGTGAAGTGTAGGGGTCACTGTCTTATGTGTACTTGACTTTTTTCTAATAAACACTTAAGATATGGATAAACCTCTTATCTAAATAAATTTTCTAAAAATAATCAATCGTTTATTAACAGTTGAATTGTCAGACTGAAAATTAGGTTTTGTAAAAAGATTTTCACAGTATGATAACATTAAAAAAGAGTGCGAAAAAAAGATGTCGAGCCGCAATTTATATTGCTTTATATCAGGTTGGAATACTCTAAAAGCAACAGTTAAACATTTTTCTACCATATTTTCAAAATAGTTAATCTTGCATAACTATCATGTATATTTTGTGGTTATAATAATATAAATCAGGATTTTTGCACAAAATTATAATCGCGTCAGTAACAACTAGTATTTTTCTATTCTCAGTAATCTTGAAAAAGTTCTCATATTAAAAGAATTGATTGAGTGAGTTTGGCTAATATAAACGATACAATACTAACGTAAACCTTATTTTCCCAAAAAAGATAAGTATTTATTACATTATTTCCGTAATCATCAACTTTAAGTATTATCTTATAATTAAGTTCAGTTATTTTATAAAAGCATGTTGCAACGTCCCTAGAACTAGAATGCGAAACAATTATTTCGTACCAAATGGGTCACTTGTCATGACAGTTTTATCAACACGACTGTTATAGCACTTACAGTATGAAATGTAAAAGTAAAATTTAAGTTACATATAAATGATATAGAACCACATTTTTTTTCAGAGTATTTTTACTGTTCGTTCTTAATCCTATAAAAGTATGCACCTTTGGAATATGAAACTTATTTTCTTACACTTAAAAAAATCTGAAGTTGGCCTCTATATAACAAAAAACAGATCTACATACAGGCTGCTTTCTTACTTATGAATCATCAATATTGTAAATTAAATTTTTTATATATTTATATTATTTCGTGACATTTTTCTAACCATGATAAACACGAGAACCGCAAAGGCGGGAAATAACGCCCGAATATCAAATTTGTTTTTAAAAAATCAAAAAAAAATCCTTAAATTAGTAAGAGATCAAATCTAGAAATTTGTCTGAAAAATGTTTTATCTTAAAGACACAGTATGCCTAAGAAGTCACAGGTGATTAGGAATTTAATTCTTTAGAAAAAGCAAACATGTGTTCAATAATGTTTTAATAATGGATTTAGAACAAGGAAGATGGTTAACACAAAATGATAGTAACGCCTGAACGTACGTGTAAAAATGTGTCATAAAAGGTTGCAAAATGTAACAAAGTAGTATTTTGACTTTCATACAAAATACTAAATCACCATAAACAAACCAATTTATTTAAAAGCAAAAGGCAGAAACAATGATTCATCTATATGGACTATGAATAACGTTTTGGAACTGTAACAATATACCAAAAAATTAAAAAAAAAGTCTTTTTAGAAATAACTAGAAATAAAACGTCGATAGCATTTCGGGGGCCTTAATGTGCCTTTAAGTATCCTTATGACCACCATATGAACTCCAAGGTGGAGGACATATTTACCCTTTAATGACTCATTTATAAAAACCTTTAAAGTGGTATTCAAAGGCAATGCTAAAAGCCATAACATAAATTCATAGTATTTATCCACAAAAAGATAAGATGTATTTTGCTAAACCTTAGTCTAGTTAAAACAAGTGAACAAGTGAAGTGGACAGAGAACATTTTTGACCTGAGGGTCATGATTAATACAACTTTTGTAGGAGTCTACAATTTGATACAACATGCCCAAAACATTTAGCTCTGTGGGGCTGTAGTTTTCACAAATAAAGACATACATGTGTATTCCTATAATCCATTAATCAACACAGGGGCATGATTAATATCAATTTTTGTAAAGGTCAGAAGGGCAATGCTTACTTTCTAGATAACCTAAGGTCGAGACATTGTAATTCCACGTATGCGGTTTTCCCTTATAGAAGTCTTTAATTTGAAATTTAGGTGCTTACCTATGGCTGCGAAAGCTCTTATCCCTTATTTAATACCAAAGCATTACATGTAAACCAGAATCTTTTTTTTTGTACTTCTTAAATAAATAAATGCAGGTTATATTGCTGCAGTAAAACACAAACAAAATAAATTAGTTGGGTGTTCTAAATTATCATTCAAGCACTCCGAAAAATTTCCCGGAAAAATCTCCCCAAACCTCCTCACATGATTTGATTGGGGTTACGCTCTGTGAGCGAAGCAAAGGAGGACCACCTGCGTTTTCGGAGTTTGGGGAAATCCCCGTTCGCGATTTTATAAAATCTCTAATCACAGTTTTGTTTTTTAATCATTTTTTTAATGTGTTTTAATTTATTCAAAAATGCGATATGAAAAGTAATTTTTCTTATTTATTTATCGTTACTTTTTGTTCTTATCAATGATCGTAGTTTATTTTTCGCATTTTGTACATCATTCTTTCTACTGGGGAAGTGTTTATTTATCACAGAAGACTAACGCATTTTTCTAGCCCAATATTTTTTTAATTTTTTATTTTTTTTCTAATCTGTTCAAAGCCCACATTTTGAAAATTGGATACAAAACGTTCCTAGTTTGGACCTTTTGGTCTGAGGAGAATGTCAAATCTGGTTTTTCATAAATGCTAAATAATTCTGCCAAAATAGGGTTAATTTTTCGTTACCACCGGTTTCAAAAGGATACAGCCAGTACGAAGCTCCGATATAAGTCCATATTTAATCAACAGGGAACAGAACCTAATATTGATCCAAGGGAAGATAACTGTGGACGTTCTATAGTACACCGTGTCATTATAAGTAATATTTCTGCCAACAAGTTTCTTTTGTTTTCTATCGATTCTAAAAATACAGAAAGGACACGAACTTTTGAAATAGATACAAAATGTCTAAGCGTGACATTTTACCTGAGAAAAGATCAAACCTGCGCTCTGCACAAATTC